AAGAACGGTTATACCTAATCTTAAGTCCTCGTAGAAGAACGGTTATACCTAATCTTTAAGTCCTCGTAGAAGAAACGGTTATATCTAATCGTTAAGTCGTTGTAGAAGAAACGGTTATACCTAATCTTTAAGTCCTTGTAGAAGAAATAGGTTATACCTAATCGTTAAGTCCTCGTAGAAGAAACGGTTATATCTAATCGTTAAGTCGTTGTAGAAGAAACGGTTATACCTAATCTTTAAGTCCTTGTAGAAGAAACGGTTATACCTTATCGTTAATTCCTTGTAGAAAAAACAACTATGTATAATTTTAAAATGTGTGTTATATCGAAACTGTTTTTAGTTGTTTTGCTTTTTTCCAAGTATGAGGAAGTACAATTTTAATTCCTAACAAACTAAGCTACTGAAAGCCAGACTACAAATTACATCTGTAACTAACAACTGACGCTCGCACTGTAAACAGAGGCTCTAACTAATATACATAAAAATATATCACTAAAACCTTCATAAATAAACATGAAGTTCGAATAGGCCTGAAAAGTTAAATGGATCACATATGCGATATACTGAATTATGAGTGCACGTACTGTACCACGAAAGAACGAACGTTTCACCCTTACTATAATATTGAATCTAAGAACAACATTTCCAAAAGTTTACGATTTATTTCAAACAATTTAAAATAATGTGAAATAGCCTTACAATTTAATTTAATTTTAACATAGATCACTTACATTTACTTACTCGTACCTCTGATCAAGTTGTCCGAATTAAACACGTAACGAAAGAAAAAAGAGGGGCGCATTAGGGAAAACCAACACATTATTTTGGTATACTTAAAATTACGAACGTTATTAAGCGGTGTAGGGCATCTGTCTATATAAAGATTACTGGAGTATCAGTTCTGTCATAATACTATTATATTAGTACATCTTCTGTTCGTGCAGTGTGCAAATACAAATCTCTGTAAAGAGTTATCATTATGTACATATTGTAATATTGTACACTATGTGCATACTGTAAAAAATTGGCTGACAAAAAGCCGTATGTTTTTGCTAAACGTAAGTAACGTTTTAATTGTTTATGTCATGTATTAACCGCTGTTTTGTGTCTGAGTTAGCGAACGTACGATTCAACTTAGACTGCGTGAAACACTACTTGTGTCTTTTCATTATTTGCTTAGTACCTGTGTTACCAAATGTACGGTAAAATTTATCCTGTACGAAACATTTTTGTTCTTTTTAATATTTGCTTATGTTTGAATCACTATATTTACTCAAAAGAAGTGGTAAAGTTTGATTTAGTACTAATAAAAGAACCGCAAACGGTAACCTTCTCTGTGGTAGTCTTTACTGTCGATAAATTCTATCTCTGTCCTACTCTAGCAGCTAACTAAGGAAGAAGCCGCTGTTTGGATCTAGATTGCTCTTATTGGAAGAAGAATCGTAAAATCTAATTGAGAAGTGCTTTGTGTCACTAGTAGTGTAAAAATGAGAGGCAAGAGAGAAATATTACTTACCTGCCACATACACAGAGCCGCTCGGGTTCAGTCTCGTGAAATGTATAGAACAGTATATATATTTACTTGCTGCTTTAGATCACACCATGCACGTGTGGGCAGTAAATAATTTGCATCATATTTACCCTGAATATTTTGTATTTTAACATAAACCCACAACATTAGATTATTTCGCATTTAAAAACGATTGGACGCAATTAAATGGCGTAGATGTTTGTATCTATAAACATTGCTGACTTGATTCAATCATTTTAAATTGTCTCAATAAAGAACCTAAATCGTACTGCAAAAATACCTTTTATGCACATTAGGGTAATTTATGTATCAACCGCAAGGGTAGCCATTACCCACAAATATGGATAAATGGTTGTTAACTTGCATAAAGATCGACTGCGAATAGTGAAATGCGTTATTACTTTGAGCATCCATTTGTTCATATTTTCGCGCCACTTATATATTTTGCTGATTATAACACAAGATGGTTATTTTTGCTTTGCATTTAAACGGTAACAACCGATGGCAGTACAGCAAAAGTTTAAAATTATTTAATAACATGGGAGTTATAGTAAAACCGCTAACTCAAACCTTCCCACTTTATAATTAAATCCCAATTTACAAAAAGAATAATGCAGGTTACATTTAGAACTATAAGTCTACTAGTCATGTTATGATGTTCATTGTAACAGAACAATTGAAACAAAGTTGAGGCTAGGTGAGGCTGTACCAGCTACGTCATGTTATGATGTTCATTGTAACAGAACAATTGAAACAAAGGTGAGGCTGTACCAGCTACGTCATGTTATGATGTTCATTGTAACAGAACAATTGAAAAAGGTGAGGTTTGTTCATTGTAACAGAACAATTGAAACAAAGGTGAGGCTGTACCACCTACGTCATGTTATGATGTTCATTGTAACAGAACAATTGAAACAAAGGTGAGGCTGTACAAGCTATGTCATGTTATGAAATTCATAAGACTTTACTTTCAAAAAGCAACAATTTCGCTTAAGAATAACACTATCTTCGGTAGCTAATTCAAACTGCTATTCCTAAAGAATTTAGAGCCATTAAAACGCAAATACACATGTCATACAGTGATATGACTAATTGAGATATTTATCCAGAAAAAAAGAAAGAAAATAGGGGAGCTTTTGTACACAGTAATGATGTGGTTGTTCTTATTGTAAGGAAACTTAATCAAGTCACGCCCATAAAAATATATATCTCATAATCTGGTATTGGTGGTCCACAAACATAAAATACACCACTTCAGCTAATAGAATAAGGCGACGAAGGCTGACGTGCTGTACCCACCTTGCCAATTACAACCGTAAGCCATAGCCAAATCACTGCATTAAGACACACCTAGGATTATGCCTTTCATGTGGTGATGAAGCAAATCCGGTATATGTAGACTTACTTCCTAATGACATAGCCAAATCACTCCTGTTGAACAAAATCTATTCATTGCAGTCTTTGTGGACCTAATGTGGCCCTATAGTATTTTAATATATATATATATATATAAATATTGAGAATTTAAAGCCAATTTTAACATTTATAATGAACATAGAAACTCCTATCAATCTATTTTTTCATAAAACTTATGTTAACCATATATTTTCAATTATAGGTATTGTTATCGTTTTGATTGAAAGATTTTGATTTAATTCAAGCGACTCAAGATCTCATATTGGTATGACCTCATAAAATTATAATTCTCGCATTGTGATGCTTAGTTAAAGTTGTTGTTTTTCTCGGTTAAAAGTGACTGATCGCCTAGTCGCTTCGTGTAATACCCAAATTTGCTACAAACTTCAAAAGATATTTTGAAGCAAACGTTCATTAAATTATAAATTACAGTTTTAGTGAGACTTCCATAAAGTTATGTTTCTCGATACCTGTGTACTTATTTTGTAGATTAGAAGATAAACCCCATATAAAAACAAAATAAGCGTGCTTATGGAAAATGTACGTGTATGAAAAGACTATATCATTGTATATTTGAAAATAATGCATGAAGGTACAATGTGTAGAGTTTAACCTAAAACTCTAGGTAGAGTACAAGATAAAATGTAGAGGGAAAACGACACTCAAAAGTTATAAACTTGTCTGCATTTTTTTTTTTCTGGCAAAAATAATATGTGCGATTTTTAAATAAAAGGAAAGCCACTTACGCTTGGGAAATGAAGTCTTTCTCTGGCGAATCGAAGTTTTTATGTATTCAGTCACTGAAAAGGATCAAAGATGAAAAAAGAAGCGTTAATAAGTAACCCGGCAAGACTTGTATCTGCAATTCTATCACAACTCAAACTTAATCTAGTTTGCTTCAACTTGATAATTTCTATTACAAGTAGGGAGATATGGAACTTATACTAAGTGGTGGTTGTTATAATATTATTTTTATAATCTAAATAGTTTTCTTATTCACAACTTCGCGATTTACTTCACATACGTTTCTCTTAGTGGACGCCTTCTTATTTGTTATGATTGACGGCCATTTTGTTGCGGAGTGATACAGAGACGAGGCTGAGCTTGAAACGACGCTCATAAATAATGTTGAGATGCTAAAAGTCACGACATAGCTCTGACACAATTTTTTTTCCTCTTCAAATTTATATTACTAATATTAACGCTATGTTTAATATTAGAAAAAAGTTAGCAAACATAAGCAGGTAATACACAGTTTTGTTTGGAATTTTTTTTCCCTTGTTCTACAGTAAGAACAAAAAGTACTATTACCGAAAAATATCAGAGAGTTTTCCTACATCTGAGCTGAACAGTTCAATTTTATACTTGAAATGTCGTTTCTTTCTACTGAGACCCAAACATCATTTTTACAATAAGCGGTTTTTTTTTATCAGAAAGTTTAACTGCATTAGAATCAATAACTGGCTGATTAAGTGTTTGTTTATCTCAGCTTTCTGGTCGCTAAGATATTTTTACGACACAAATAACAACAGTTCTGGGATGGCAACGCTTATGAGATTAAGTTTTTGCAAAATTGGAGTACGAGTCATGATACTTTGCCTTATGTATATATATATATATATACAGTTTCCTTGTTAATAAATTCATGTAAATTCTGAATATGATAATAAAATTAAAATGACGCCGTCAAAGTTTTACGTGCCATTATTCCTGACAAGTTTTACGAAAAATCAATATAAGTAAGAAACGCGGTGTTTACAAATATGTCTGCTTCTAAAAACATCACTTTGTACAGGCCACCCTTCCATCTCCGCACGAGGGAGTTTCAAGGAGAAAGGGTTTAGACAGACTGTGAACTTTGAGAGGCTCTAGCTTTCCGCAAAACGCCACCACTCGAAGTCTGACGGTAAATACAATTGATGGCCACTAGTAGGGTTAGAAGATCTGAGACAGTATACACATTAGAGTGAAATAACACTTTCTTCCATAAAGCTTATCATAACGTGATTTTGGCACTTTTTGTTCCACCAGGATATTACACTTACAAGGTAAGTGTCGTATAAGTTATAGATATCTTGAATAATCCATATTTTCAATATTTAAATATTTGATTCAAAGAGCAAATTTTATGACAATGACATACTTTTTCTTCCTGCACGAAAGTCATTCCTTTAAGAAGACAAATGACATGATGGAGTATTTTGCTAGGTTACGACCAGTTTTGTTTTGCTATTATTATTATTATTGGAATGTTTGATTAACTCCTCTTCTTTGAAAAGACAAAAAAAAAACATTTTTGATCAAAATATGCTGTGTATATTTTTTAATAATCACAGTAAAACAGTTTTACCTTTTCTATAAGATTAATATAAAACCCATTAGTATAACTGTAATATAGTTTTTTTCATAACTATTTCTAAATTCGTATTTCTAGTGTAATTCAGAGATGTGGCCAATCAGCTTAGAGTTTTGCATGCTAAACCTTTAACTGAGATTTTCGATCACAAATAATTTATATTAAATTAAAATAAAAAATGAAATATATTGAGTTCGAATGTCACGATTACAAATAACAAGCGAGCATGAATTGTTTTAACTGAACTAAAAACTCGATTTTAATTCACCGAAAACTTTATAGATCCCCATTAGCTGAGATGTCTCTCTGTACATTTAGTGAAGTATTTCTAAAAAGAGACTCATATATTCTAAAACGCGGTAATCTCACTGCTGATTACTTGCGATAAAAAAATACCGAATAAATTAAAAGTCTTTGCATGCATATTAATTTTTTCACTTACGTTAAATTGAAAGTGAAAAAAAGACACCTAATTTTTCCTTATAACCCGTTGATTGTACACACTATCCCAAAGTTAAGAACACTACTTTATTGATTACTTTGTTTAACTGCTCCTCAGTGTACATAATTTTTACTGCACGCCTTCTATTTCTCCATAACCGAGCCTTACAGTCCCACTGGGAGTGATTGTAATCATATTTCAGCATTCTTTTCTCAGAGCAACAGTTTCTGAGGTGTTCTGTAGTGTATCTTTCTCGAAATGATATTTGAAACAGTTTTAGTCTATTAAAGGTAGTTTGTCTCGTAGGATCGAGCTACTGAATGTATTGAAGAATAGTCAAAACATAAATGCTTATAGAATA